TGAATTGAGAATTTGAATTAAAAAGTAAATTTTAGTGAGAAAAAATAATGTAACAAAAAAAATTGAGTTTAAATTTTTATAAAAAAAACACTTTAACAAAAAATTAAATTATAATTCAAACTAGCGAAACGAATGGAGTTAGATTGTAGGATTTTGTTAAATTGCATAAGATTAATATAAATATTAAATTTGATCTAAACAATCATAAAGTACAGAAAAATCATGATCGTAATAAATAACCGGATTCACAATAATTTTGAGTGAAACAGACAAAAAAAAAAAAAACACATATATTAAGTTTTAAGTACCAATGCTTAAGAAGATACTTGACAAATTTAAGTACACGCGAAAATTTTGTATGATCAATGTATAAATTCGATCTACTAAAATGGGAGGTGCATAACACAAAAACCACACAAATCATCGCCAGAACACACATCAAACGGACTGAAAAAAGAAATTAACATTTCTATATCCATATGATGTTCAAGAATTCGCACTACTAATAAATTTCCTTATGCTCAAACTCTGCTTATATATATAAAATGCATGAAGCAGTGATTTTCCACAAACTCCGGAGCCTAATGTTGCAATGATTAACACACGGCAAGAGATGAAGTAGTATTTAATTTATTAACAAAAGAAATTTAATCTCATACCGTGATATACATAAACAAATACATGTAAAAGATAAACATATATATATATATATGTGTATTTTTTATACATCTTTTTGGGGATAAGTAATGCATGATACATGCATACACACATTCCCATCGTAGATTACAACATGACCACTCGCATTGATTATTGTTTCCCATCCCATAAGCAAAGAACTGGTAACGTAAGTTAGCAGTCGACCTGAGGGAATAATTAAAAAACATAATCGCATGTTTAGAATTTAGCAATAAAAATAAAGGGTGTTAATTATCAAAATACGAATTTAACAATAAAAATAAGGTTGTTAATTATCAAAATAAAAAACAAAATTAAAGGGTTTTTTTTTTTTTTTCTAAAGAAAAGGTGAATGCTAGGATTACTCTTTTTGAATGAAATCAGATTATATCACGTCATTTAAAAATTTAAAACTTTTAATCGATTTTTTTTTTTTTATGTTTTAATATTTGAGTCCTTGGTCAGACACCCCCTAGAACATCAAAAATTGGACACGTAATCTCAAACCCTCTAAGAAAAATTAAAAGGGTGTTGCAAATGGTATAGAAAAGGTCAACGCACATAGGTTCTATCATCCCTCCAAATGCCTCTTGGTTGTTCAATAATGGAACAATATTATGTATTATTTTGGGGTGGTTATTGTTCATTTCATGGCCTCCACCACTACTATCTTTGAGTTGTGTGCGTAAATCTCGCTGCCTATAATACCTCCTTTTTATGCATCAAAATCCCAAATGGCCCTAATTTGTTTCTCTTCCAATCATTCCCCATCTCTCCTCTTGGCCTTTTGTATATGTATGCAATTTTATTCTCCTCTCACACCTTTATTTCTTTCTTACTTTCTTTGTTCCCTCAATTTTACTCTTCCATGATCGTTTATTGGGTTTTGATCATCAACTAAGGTACGTTACTTAAAAATCTCTTTCTCTACAAATTTACTCTTTCTTTAGTATTTTTTTGAATATTTCTTGAATAAAAACAAAATGAAATTGCACGTGTTGCCCTACAAATCTACTCTACTCCATTGCTTATGCCGTATATCTCTTAAATCTCTCCCTATGATTTTTTTTTTTTGTACGTTTGCTTCATTTTGTTGCATATAACGAGGTCTAAAGATATATATAGTGCAATTATATATGTTATTCTATAATATTATAAAAGATGTCCCATTATGATTGTTTTTCTGCTTTTGGGTGGTAGAGAATCTACAGACTTTATTCTTGTGATTTGCTGTACTTCCTCTTTAATTTCCATGGATTGATGATTTCGATTTCATGATTATTAGTTTTTCAAAAGGTTTTCCTTGTTCTCCTGCATCTTTTTTTTTCCATTATTTGTTTACTTTCTAGTTTACCTATTCTAAGGGACAAACATGCATAAGTGGGAACCACGACAATTAATAATTAAGAGAAGAGCATTATATTCTCTAATCTTTATATTGAAACTACTAAAGTTCTCTGTGGGGGCCAAATAATACCAAGAACATTGAAGTGTAATTCAATCAAAAAAGGAATATTGTAGTGTAAAGAATATAGGAAAACAATAAAACATGTAGCCCAAAAAGGGTGGGCCAGGGGCCCATCTGAGCTCCAACCCACTCATAAGTAACAGTGGCTCCCACGGACAGATGACGATCTCTCTCTCTCTCTCTCTCTCTCAGCCTTTTCTTTTTACATATAATTAATAGATAGAAGAAAGGACTGTCCTTTAGATTGCACTAGCAATTGTCTGGTAATGAAAATAGAAAAAAGAGAGTTTTTAGTTCTCATTTAAGCCATGATACATGTTTGTAGCTAACTTACTACTAATAGTAAACTTTGTATTTGTGTCCCTTATATGTAGAATGTAGTGAACATGCATAATCATTAAAACACATAGCTCAATGTCTCTTTTCAAATTAAAATGTAAGCATAAACAATGGGGAATTTTTGGGAAGATATGAAAAAAAAATACCTTATTGATAGTGAACGTTTTATAATCATCAAAATTTTTATTAAATGTGTTTTAACATTTTTTAGGAGAAGTGAATTTGATATAACTTAATATTTAAGAATGCAACTATCCAAGGAAATCTGACCAAGGACAAAAAAAAAAAAAAAAAAAAAAAAACTCTCAAATCATGATATTGATATGTAGTTGTTGCCTTTTAATTTGTTTATTAGGTGATTCAATTAAAAAGAAAAGGTTATTTATGGGCTAATTATAGTGCTTTTTTCCCTTTTGATTGATATGTTAGTTTTTACCGAAATATATGTGATTTCTAGTAGCTAGTTTTTGGCTAAGGCTTATTTCGGAGTTCTTATTTACATATGTGCAAGTGGCGTTGCTGGACCACTTTCTATCATTTTCTTTTAAATAACTTCACCTACAAAATTTAAGTATTCATATTTCATAAGCTACAGAGACAAAGACAATATCATGATGCGACAAAACTATGCAGTTATTACGAGCATCAGAGAAATTAAATTATTTTTGTATCTGCATATGCGTGTTCTTGAGTGAATGGACAAAGTGACAGACAGGAAAGAAAGAACGAATTTCCAAAAAGGGAAAGAAAAAGAAAGAAGTAAGAAAATAACTTTTTGATGAAACAGAAATAGAACATACAAAACCCACGAAACCGGGCTACAATAATTTAGAGGATTTTTCGTTTAAAAAAAAAAAAAAAACACTTTGAGTCTTTGTATTGTTGAGCTTCGAGAGCTCTTTAAGACCCAATAACATATTATTTGCTTTTACATTTTAGCAAATGGGAAATGCATTTGCTTTTTTTTGTTTTGTTTTATATTTTGTTAAGGTAGATTGATTAGATTCATTTCGAGCTCAAGTATAATAGAATTTGAAAAAGTATTTTGGACATTTTACTGATAATGTCAAACATCATATAATAGTCAAATGTAAGTCATACAGTATAAGATTTCATAAACAATACTTATTTTCTATTAATTGTAGTGCTTAACATTGATAATGATCAAACATTTTTCTAAACCTTTAGGCTTAGCTTACAAGTAGGGAGCCAGAATACTGAGCCGAGAGTGTGGTGACCGTGACTCACACGGCATGTACATGGGTTAATAGTCCTCTTGGTCCTTATAGTGGAAAGAGGGAAAAAAAAAAATGTCCACTTGATCACAATGATGTAATTGAAATTTTTGACGATCAAGAATCATCAGAAACTTTATAGTTCCCCTGAGTCAAACACACCAAAAATGTGAATGATGAAAGCCTCCATTTAATGAGCAGCTTTTGGATTTGACTGTAATAGTCCTATTTGCTTTGATAGCATTGTTTGATAAAGATGCTTAAATGCTTTTCTTTTTTCTTTTTCTTTTTGCCTATTTGAAGGATTCATCAGTGTTTTTTTTCTTTTTTCTTTTCTTTTTTTTTTAATTTAGGACTTACTGTTCTTTTTTGTTACACCAACTCCTTATAACTCACTCTCTCCTTTTTTTTTCCCTCTGAATTTATTTTATTGGGAGAAAGAGGGAAATAGATAAAAACTTGAGATGAATTAAAATTAATAGGTCAATAGTTTATATAAGTTAATAAATAGGTTAAATTATTATTTTTGTCTATAACATGTCTGGTTATGAACCATAACTTGACAAGTTATTGTCCATAACTTATCTGGTTATGAACCATAATTTGACAATTTTATTCATAATTTATCTAGTTATGAATCAGAACTTGATAAGTTTATCCATAACTTATTTAGTTATAAACTATAACTTAACAAGTTATGACCTATTAATTTTTAAAAAAAAAATTAACCTATATACTTTTTTTAAGCTTTTCATATGAACCTACTTCATACTATTTCCGTATTTTATTTGACTACATGGTCTACATTCTACAATGACAAAGAGCCTTGGCATGGATTGGGTTTGGGAGCCCATACCAAGCCCACAAACAAAGTATTATTAAAAACATTTGGACGTCTCCACTGGGCTTAACAGTTTTCCTTGCATATATATCTATGCACACATATTTATACCTTCATATGTTTGGCACAAATTTTTTGAAGTATTGATTATAGTGTAACATTGATACACTCATTGAACATATATGATCACATATAGAAAAATGGGCTAAAATTTTCTATGATTCGACCGGTTTGGAATTATGCACCAAAATTGTTGTCTAACTCGTCATCTCAAGAGAAACAAGTTTAAAAAACTATTAGGTAATTAGGTAATGTTAATAAGGAGAATCTTTAACAGAAAATGAACGTTAATAAACTATGCCCTTTCATCAGATTTTGTCAGACATAGTTTACTAATTCCTTTGCAAATTATGCAGGTTTTAATCACTTAGGAGACAATTTCATGGCAACTAAAGCAAAAGATCATAGCAATAGTAGTACTAGTACTACTGCCTTGGCCAAGAAGGAAAGGGTTGCCACAACAATACCTTCAAATTCCCAAGCCAAAACCACATCCACAAAATCCTCCACAACACAAGGCTCCTCTTCTACTCACAAACCATCTTCATCTTCCACAGAAAAACAAGTCCCTAACTATCTGAAGCCCACCATAAGCTCCCGCCAAGACTCCGCCACCCCCAAGCCATCACTAAACCGAAGAAGATCCTTCGACAACAAGCCACCATCGCCAGCTTCTCGACCCCAGAAGGTTGTGCCCGAGAGAAGTACGGTGCCTGTAAGGTCATCGTCCTTCTCCTCCAAGACCGCTTCGAAAACTGCTCCAAGGCCTACAACAAAACCGCAGACATTGTACGCGAAGAGTGTGAAGAAGGGCGCTGAGATTTTCGTTAGGAAGGAAGGCCCTAGTGGAAGAGGGGCTGATCCGAAGAGTAGTACTAAAGATAACAATGAAGTGGCCAAAGATGAGGAATTGGCTAAAGAATCCTTGGTTCATGAAGTTGTTGATAGTAATAATGTGGTGGTAGATGGCGATGATCATCAGACTGAGCTGGTTAAAGTTGCACCAGAAGATGAACCGAAATCCGAAGAAAATCATGAAAATGAGAGTATTGATGATCATGGTCATGATCATCAGGATGAGACTAAGGCTAAGCCTTGTGATATCACCATAGTTTCAGAAGAACTAGTAACATCTGATGATGATAATGAAGATACTGATCATAAAAAGCTAGAAAGTACTGAAGAAGAAGAAGGAGAAGAAGAGAAGCCTGGAGATGAGAGTGAAGTAGGAGAACAAGAGAATCATAACAAAGATGAAACCAGTAATTGTACTACTAGTGAAACTAGTCACCAAATTACTAAAGAGAGTATCGAAAATGAGGAGACGAAAGTCGAGGAACTGATCAAAGAAGAGGCTGAAGAGGTTGTGAAAGAAGAAACTCAGGAGCTAGAAAACAAGAATATTGACAATGTAGGTAGTGGTGACAAGGAAGGGAAAGAGGACGGGGTTAAGTCAAAGGAAATAGGAGAAATTAGTGATGAGAATGTGGAGGATTTAGGAAATACTTCAGAGACAAAATCAGAAGGAATTGTGAAGAAATCAGCACAAGGTGGTGGGAAGAAGGAATCTCAAGTGGCATATAATGATGTGATTGAAGAGACTGCTAGTAAGCTCTTGGAGAAGAGGAAGAACAAGGTTAAGGCTTTGGTTGGTGCCTTTGAGACTGTCATTGATTATGAATCTGCAGCCAAGTGATGGGGTGCAAAAAGAAAGAGATTCATGTAATGAGAGAAGCAAGTTAAGTAGGGTGAAAATGGAGATTTTAGAATAATCTCTATGATAAAGATATGGGCACAGTGTGTTTGGTCATACCTGATTAATTTTTGTTTGCAATTTGTTGGTATATTTGTAAATTGTACATTCATTACAAATGTTTCTGTTGAAATATACTAATAAGTTATAAAGTTAGCAAAATTTGTGAAATTGGAATGGGGATTCTAATTTTATGGTATAAAATCCACCTACATAGGAGCAACTAGGTTGGCACTGGAATAGTTTATTCTCTACTCTTTCTTTTTTAGATTACTATTTTCTACTACATATTATGAGTTAATCGCATAAATGGTCTTTGAGATTTAATTTCAATCCCACTTTAATCTTTGACTTTTAAAACGTCACGCAGTTAGTTACTAAGGTTTTACTAGTTTGTTTCAGTTGGTCCCATATACTATTGAATATGTGGGCATTGTTACTAAAAGAACTATCCTTTGGCCTTTTCTAACAGGAATGTTATTTTTATATTATAATATTGTTTTTTAAGATTTTGATTTAGTTGGTGATAGTGCCTTCTCAAAAATAATTAGGGGTCTGGGTTTGATAATATATATATTCCAAAACAACAAATTCTGACTAAAAGGGGAGTTTTATAAATGTAAGAATTAGGGCACAAATGAATCATAAAATTGAACAATGTTAGAGTCTAACATATAGGGCCTTGAAGGAACTTAATGTTTATTTATTTGCTATGGAATGTTCAAATAGCCAATTAATAAAAACAAAGTAGCCACCAATCTGTCTCTAACCAATCAATATCTACTACACAGTATGCCAAAATTTCACCAAGAACCAAATGAAAATGCAACAACTTTAAACCAAAGAAATAAAATCGTACTTGAAAGCAATAAATTTCCCTTTTAACTTCTCCATTCAAGCTATTCCCTTTCGCAGTACCTTAGCTTCAAAGAAACCTCTCTTTCCATTAATAGCCGGGATCGAAAATTGTTGATAAAAATCTCAGCCCTCCGATCAACATCATCATAATCATAATCATAATCATCATCATCATAATCATAGTTGGAATTAGCATGAGCACTACTTCTAGTCCTCTGCAGCCTTCTGATCATGCTAGAACTCTTAACATCATCTTCAAGGCAGCCACACAAGCCCCGTCGACCGCCGCCATTAAAGCTCCGACTTCGCCTTCCGGCGTGATTTCTCATTGTATTCTTTGAGAAACGCCATTTGCATAGCTTGAAGCTGAGCAAGACAAACTTCATCTTCGTTATTAGTGCCATCTTCAAGTGGCTTGCGACTGAAGAAAAACTGTCCCTGGCCATTTGTTAATGTTAAAACAATTTGTTGGAGTGAAATGTTTTATTTGTTATGTTCAGACAAAAGTGAGTGCATTGTGAGGGGTTTTATAGGGACAAGAACTAGACTGAGAATTGCTCGACAAGATAGTAGTAATATATTTGATTTTTTTTTATTATTACATTATATTATTGTTATTAGTATTATTTGGCTTGAGAGCAGAAGAAAGCGTGTTAGAATTTATTGGACGCGAAGGTTACACTTACTTGCGTTGGAGTTACAGAGAAGAGAATTGTGGTGGGATTTCTAAAGTCACATGGCTGTTCTTGTTGTGATTAGCTAAGACATGTTTACATGTCAGAATTTGAATGGGGCCTTTTGGAATTAATGTCACTTTTGTAGTGATTGGAATTTGGAGTACTAGTTCTAGTAGATTGTCAAATTGTTTATGTTTGTTACGCTTTGAGCTCGTGGCAAATCACCCTTGGATGTACTAAAATAGGTTGGAGTAATTTAAATCGATTTATGATGTAATAATTTGGAAGAAAACGCCTTTAAGTACATATTTCATCCTATATCATATTTTACTCTCTTCCTTCAAACGAGTTTATATAACATGTATGAGGATTTTTTTTATATCAAACTTTAACAATCATAATCAATTTGTGGTATTCTATAGCATTTTGATAAATCAAGTTTATCAAAAAAAAATAATAATAAATTAAGAGAAATTTGTTACAATTTTTTTTTTTTTTTTTTAAATTTAGGGTAAGTCGGCAACCCTAAAAAATTGAGGGAGTAATCCCAATACCCCATATTTGTATTGTTTGTTGTAGAATATAATAGTGCATTTATTAAGAAGCTACATATTAGTTTTTTATTTGGTTGGCTGTATTACTTTTTAGGGTATATATTTCTTGCTAACTATGTTTTGGTCATCATACACAACTAAATATGAATTGTAAGGTTACGTTAGTTTAGGTCAAGGTCAATGAAAGAAAATTATTCGTCTTCGAGTCTGGTTCCTGGGACTTGGGAACTTTAAAATGATGCAGTCCAGTCAAAAATGTATGTCAAAAAGAAAAGTAATAAGACAATTGATTATGGGTACTAAATTAGGAACCTTTATAGTAGAACGTGTATTTTTTACTTGATAGGAATTGTTGTTTTCAATTGTTGGATTAATTTTTTAACCGTGTGAGTTGTACATGTTTACATTAAAAATTTATAACGTGCAGTCATGCGACTTAAAATTGTTGCTTTTATTATCAATCAGACCATTGAAAAACTAATTTAACTGTTAAAACACAATTTCTACTCATAGAAACAAAAATGCATGCCATAGAAGTTCCCATTAGATTACTGGCACTGATATAAAATATGTATATAGATACACACACATATATATATATATATATATTGCAGGATTGAGGTAAAAACCATCCACCTTAAATGTCATTGAGCTCATGATACGATGATGTTTCACCATTAGGCCTAGGATGCATTTTTCTTGTGTTGTTTTTAGAGCGTTTAGTTGCCTAGGTTCTGTTTTTGTCTTTCTAGTAACTGATTTCCAGAAGAAAAAAAGTATAATTTACTCGTAACAATTTCTTTTCCCGTACGCAACTACGCATCGACATAAAGAAAGAATCACAAGGTCAGAGTGAAAATAAAGACGCTTTATGACCACAAAAGAAAAAGAAGTTGTTCAAATAGATAGAAATAGTATTGCCTATGATTTTCCTTCAGTACCTAGAGAAATTGATTTCAAATAAACTTTGCCCTTTTTGTTTCTTTCTCCCTGACGAAACACGCAATCGAAAGAAAATCCTGGAAAAGCACAAACAGCAAAAGCTATTTTCAAGCACACTTTTTTTAAAAAAAAAAAAACAAAAGAAAGAGAAAACAAGTTGTTGCATTTACTCCTAGCTTTGTACCTAAAGATAAACTTAGGGACGTTTAGGAGGGGATTCGTGCTATGATTCGAACTATAATTCGTTACTCACTACAGTATTTTTTTTATACAAAAAACACACGTAAAACGAAAATGACTCTGAATCATGGTTATTAATCCTTCTAGTGACCACAAAAATTCGAATTACATTGGATTATTCACCAGTCTCAATAACTTTGTTTCTATTTTCTGATATTGTTGCCTTCAAAATAATTTCTCCTAAACAACACCAACGAAAAAAAAAAAAAATCACTGACAGTAATTCTAATGATCTTGGGACTTAGAAATTATAAATTACAGCTCCCTGCTCCGGAGACACATTAGTCCTCGGTGCTTTCTCGTCAGTTTCACCGTCTGCACCTTCTTCCTCAACCTGCTTCTGTTTATACCACAAACCATACATTTGTCTCCTCGCTTCACTGCGAGCTACCCTCTCAGTTAGCTTCATTTCTTCAAATTCCTCAGCAAACTTGGCTTCATCCTCAGGTGAGAAGAAGAGCACCTCCGTTTTCCCAAGCTCTTCGTACAGCTTTTCGATTTTTGCCTTCCAAAAGAGACCCATCTCCGTGTCCATCTTCTGGTAAGGCGTTTTCAGCAGGTACTCATCAATCCCACCAGCCTTGTCTATGCAACGGAGGGCGTGGGTGGTGACTTTGACTCTAATATGCCGGTCTAAGACGTAACTGAAGAGACGCTTTTCCTGCACATTCGGCTTCCATGACCTCCTTGTCCTGTCATCATTGCGAACAAGGAAAAGTTCGAATAAGTACTACAATGACGACATAAGTTAATAGTACAAGATTAGAGTGAGCATATTATCGTGTTCATTTTGCAAATAGCAGTCACGTCCTTTATTGGGGAAAAAAATGGCACAGCCATCACAGATAAAAATATGAAACAGATTATGAAATTTCTACATCAGAAGTAGCCTGAGAAGGGGGGAAAATACAGGGTAATATAAGTAAATGGATTCGTAATAACAACTGTTAAAACTGAATTTTTCACAATCAAGCCAGCTTCATTCCAAGTAAAATGGCGGCTTGATAGAACAAAATTTTGGGTAACGCCAGTTACATATCTAGTATCCACAGCAAACTTTTATCAGACTACACATAAATTGATGTCCTTGTTCCGACTTGAGTCATCATCATCAACATATACAAAACAAAGCATTCACAGTCTTAAAGTTCTTAACAATCAGTTGAGTTCCCAAGTAAATTCCAAGACTTCAAGTTCAATCAAGTAATACAGTCCTTTCATATCCCAACCATTTGTATCGACATGCCTTGTAATACAATACCATTTAAATTTACGTGTTATCAATATCCGAATCTAAGTAACACACCATAGGTGCAATCAATTTCAAAGAATTAGAACCACTTTCCAGATGCCAAAATCGAATGCTCATAGGATGGTGCTTTACACTTATACAGTGCCACTCATATAGCTTAGAATGCAAACACTTCTACATAGCTAATATGGCCATTACAAGCCAACGCCATTTCAGCTCAAAAGGAATAATTATAATTTATAACTAAGAAAGGGCAGGATATACTAACGAAACAACTCGTTTTTTCTTTCCCAAGTTAACAAAATTCTGATCCCAGTCAGACATTAAAAAAAAGATTATAATAATCATAACTCAGCTATGGAAGCTCAAATGTAAAATAAGTTCCTGGACAAATTGATGGTTTTTTCCCTATCCAGTATGGGGAAAACTGAAACGAACTATAAACATATAGCTACAAAAATTATATACCCTATGGAAAAAAAAAATTAAAATTGAAATGAACCGCTGACATATTATCTGCAAAGTTTAGAATTGAAATGACAAACTTAAAATTGATGGCCTTTTCTCTATACCCTATGCAAACATAAACCCTAAAGCTTTGTTCTTTTTCTTTCTGAATTGCAGTTCGCATGGCGATCCATATGGAAAAATTGTTAAACATACTGCATTCCAAACTTATTCAAAGAAATGAAAATCAAAAGCCAACTCGTAACTCAGTTCAAGCACTGCAACTATCAAATTACAAGGAAAATCGGAAGGAAAAAAAAAAAGCAAAATCAGAAATCAAAGCTCAAAATCACTAATACCTAGTTCTCCCAATTCAAAAAAAGAGGTCAAAATTTTCACTAGCAAAAACAGGAATATGAGAGAGAGGGAGAGAGACTTGTTGCCACCGTCTTCGCTGACGCGATTGCCGAAGCGGATGTGTTTGCCGGCGAAGATGCCTCGCTTGGCCCGATTCATGACGATATTGGAATCTGGTACGTATTTCTTCATAGAGTCCTTCATTCCTGGTGTCAGCTTTTTCTCTTCCACTTTCTTCACTATGTTCTTCATCATCTCCTTCCCTCTAAACGCCATTCTCCCTCTCTCTCTCTCTCTCTCTCTAGGTTTTAGGGTTTTGGCTTTGGAAACGAAACGAAATCAGAACTATCGGTGCCGATCTGCCTGGTTTTTGTGAAAATGATGCCTAGACTTGCACTGTTGGTTTTAGTTGCCAACGGTGGCCTTGGGGATTGGTTTTTGTGAAAATGATGCCTTATTTTCAGTCTAATTATAGATCAAATATTTTGGTCTCAATTTTTAAAACGTTACCGAAAGAATTCTCATTTATTTATTCAAAAAAATAATAATAATTCTCATTTCTCATTTATTTATTAAAAAAAATCTCATTAATACTTTACCACTCCGCTAAAAGATAAAAAAGTAGCATTTAATTAATAAAAATAAAATCAAGACGATAATGATACTTATTTAGAATAATATAGGAGTTTAAATTTATGGTTTTGATTATATTATAGTGTTTTTTTTTATAAAAAAATTCAAATTTTAAATACCAAATCAACAATTACTTCTTTGAATGCATGAATTAAATGGGTTCATAAATAATAAATATGCACAAAACTATAATCATGATAAGTTATGTACTTTTTTCTTTATTTAAATTATCTCAAATTAGTTTTTCTGTTCATTAGATGTTTAAAATCTTTACTATAAAATACATGCAAGGTTCATGTCCGTATAGAATCCAACAAGTGACATTGGATCTTGTTTTCTGCTTGGAAGGGCTGGGCCGAGTGGCCCTTTTTGAGCTCTATGTGCAATTTAGTAAGAGTACTTATTTTTTTTAAAGGGAGATTGTATTGAAATTAAACAAAGTTATAGATATCACGATATAATGTTAATTTAGCCTCGTTCATTTCGATGATTCGAATTTAAAATTTGAGTTGAAATGTGATTGTATGTGAAAACTTTTTACTGTAGTAAAAAAGTTAGATGTGATTGTTTGCGAGAGCTTTTTACTGTAGCAAAACTCGAATCAGCGAAACGAACGAGGTCTTGAGCACACATAAAGCTCATTTTGAAAAAACCACTTTGATTAATGGTAGCTTTCAGAGGGGCAGACCTCCATAGCGCTAAAACTACAAAACACTGCCAATACCCAGTCTAATAGACACCACAACTAAACTAAACGAGCACACCACCACACGGACCAACATTCCAAGAGAGTGTGGCCATTGGCTGACGAACACGTTAGAAATAACAGTCTAAACAAACGGCAACTAACCTCTAAAGCAAGTTAGATCCGCCTCAACAACATGCACCACTCCACACATAGCCACCACCACGGGAAAGTCGGCGTCGAGACGAGTCTGATGCCAAACTTTCACGGCCGGAAGCCCAATGACGCGTTTGGATGCGGCACCAAACTCCAGTCAAACACTATACACATTTGCTCTGTTTTTCATTTGAGAGAGAAAGAGAGAATGACAAAAAATGTTAATAATTTCACATGTTAGGACACAACCATAAAAAAAAAAATGTGCTTCATAATTTTATCAAGGTTTAAATTAATAAATATCGATAATTTATAATAATGTATTATTAATAAACTGTTATATCTCTCTAGTGAAATTTTTATTAGAAAACTTTGGAATCTGTCAGGTCAAACGTCCAAACTTTCATCTTTACTTAAAAAAGAGCCCATTACATTAAGGATAATTTTTAAAAATACTCCTTAAAAATGAAATATAATTCATTTTCTTTCAACCCCTTAACATTAGTTAATATATTTTTACCTTTTAGATTATAACTAATCAAGAGATAAATTTTTTTTAAAGAATACTTTTCATAAGTCAGATAATTAAAAAAAATAGAATTGGTAATTTTCTCCAAAAATAATGTATTATTAATATGGTAAACACCCATCTCTCTAACTTGTTAGATTTTAATGTGAAATGACTAAAATGTCCAAAAAACAATGGGTGGCGCGGAAGGGAAGGGTAGCAACTTATTCGCAGATCCAAGTGCTAGGCTTTCGTTAAGTGAATGATCACAGCCGTTGGATCAGAATAAGTTTTCACTATATAAATCAATGTTTTGGTGTTACACACCCCAGTTCTCATTCCCCTACTAAAGTCTCGTCGGCGTGCGTTCCTCTACTCGTTTCTGCAGTTCCCTTCTCTCCTTCTTCTTCAGCTTCTCTATTCCTTCTTGTTTCTCGTTTTTGTTCTTGCTTTTCATTTTCGATTACAAATCGTTTAAATCAAATGATGAGTACGGATTTAATTTTCTCACGACGGTCGTCTGAGATACTCTCCTTGATGTTAAAGGATCCACAACTCCTGATGATTCGCTCTTTTCTTTCTAATTTTTCCTTTCTTCCTGAACAAATAGGATTTATTATGGTTTTATCAATCTATATATATGATATATATATATATATATATATACCTGGGAACGGGGATTTATGGATTTACTGATTTATTTTTTTTATTGATCTATTTTCGTTTCTTTAACATTTTTTCTAATCGTTCCATGAATGGGCACTATGAGGATATCGTTTCAGCATGAGGTTGAAAATCTATGATAATTTTCCGTGAACACATTAAAGTCCTTTTCATTCTGAGTGCCTCTTTTTTTTTTTTGGTTCTTTTGCTTTTTTTATTTTTGTTTTTGTTTTTTGGTTGATTACCCAAGCCTTTTGGCTTAAAATAAAACATTTGAATTAAAAGAAACATGTTAATAAGCAAGAAAATTTTCCGCAGTAAATGAACCTGTACATTGGAGCCTTGAATCATAGACAATTGTTCATGTTTAATATAAAACATTTGATTTACAGAATCATGTCAATGAGCAAGAAAATTTCCAGAGGAAATGAATTTATACATTAGAGCTATGATAATCATTAATGCTTGAATGAGACTTTTTATTATGAACAAAAGCATATATATTAATGGACTAAGAGCGCAACAAAAAAAAAAAAAACCCCCAAACCATATTAATGGGCAAATGATTATTTTCGTGTTTAACATAAAAAAGAAAATTGACAATATTGTACAGTCCATACATAATTAAAAAGTTCGACAAATGGAAGGTTTTTCTCTAGGCAAGTTTGATTCAGTTGTGACGAGGTCGGACAATTGTGCAGATGCAAAAACTCCAACTGCCCTTAAACTTGAGCTGTAATCTCTGTCGTACACGTCATTGGGGTTTACGACAACGACCATTTTATGTCTCTTCTCTATGAGTAGATTAACGACATGCCCGATTGATGTCGTAGTTGTAACATAAGGAGGTGGGCTTCTCATCATTGTCCATAGCGGACCATCCAACTGCAAAATAGAGTGTTCAAAATGGGTGTTAGCCCACAAAAATGATCACCAAAACTTACTTGTAGAGGAACAAGAAATCTAGACAATTAGAAATTTTAAGATTTTACATTTATTTGTTACGATTGTTGAGGATTTGGTCAAAATTTCTTTTATTGTTATGTTATGTTTATCTTATTATTAGGTGTATTATGACCAGTATAAAACCAATACAGCTAGGTTTCCTTTTTTTTTTTTTTCTTTTTTTTTTTCAATTTTTTAACTTAGGATGAATGAATTTGAACTCTTAGACCTAGACATCGGATGTGGGCGTGGATTTAAACTTATCCTAAAACTATGTTGTCTAGTTGATGGGAGTGTCAAGTGGAAGTGCAATGATGTGTGCATACCATTACGATAGATAGGTGTCAAGTGGAAGTGCAGTGATATATGCAGTTGAGGCATCCGAAACATGGTATCTGACTACGTTGCCAATCTAGAAAAAAGACAGCAGGACATGTAGCTAAATGAAATGAATGAAAATACCGACCTCCCTGCAATCTTCACGGTGCAAGAGTCCAATGCAGCTACCCCAGTCATCTTTGACAGGCACAACTGGATCACAAAAGAAACGCATGATAACCTTCTTTAACTCTAGGGCCTCGTGAATTGGCTTCGCCGCTTCAAATGGTATCATGAATCTTTCAACCGGGTCGCTCATTGACACCTAAAAAGTGTGAGAAAAACAGTTGGCATTCAGCAAAATGTCAGTTACTGGTGGGAGCATATGACACAAGCGTAGCTACGACTTTTCTCCCATTTTGCTTTCAGTTTGATCAACCAAAGATACTCTTTGCCAAGTTTTGATGGGTATGGTTATTACAAGTACACTTAGTAATAGCTATATTCTAGAAAATTGGTGTAGCATGCCCATCAAAGTAATACAGATCCTTCACATTTTTAGTTGCCGAATACGAATAATTCAATTTTTAAAAATGGAGCTACTTATTATATGTCTACTACAAAGAACCTAAACCGCTGATACCTGTAATACATGCAGTCACTAGTTAATAATTGACTATTTGCTCCAATGAAATCCAAAACACAACGGAGAGATGAAAAAGAAAACAAAGACCAGCAATTAACTATCAAAACCTGAGGAAGTAGATATGGACTCAAAACCGATTTGCTAAAACCCAACAGGGCTTCTATGCGAATAATAACCTGCAGTACCAAAAGAAGTTGGATGAGTAATGATTTTCAACAATATGAAAGTGCAAGATAAGCATGTTGTAAATGCAATAATTCTGTGTGAAGGGCTAATTGTGACAAGTCAGTTGAGAATATGACCGATATCAAACTATAATGTGCAAGTCAAAGAAAACCCAGCAGCTTGCTATTTGTTGGAGCTGTAGTCCTAACACCACGTGTTGGCTCACACTCAAGAAAGACATAGGCATCACCTTTTGCTGCCTTACGCTTGAAGTAGACGCGCTGCTACCTCACACTCAAGGCGATGTCTCTTTATGCTTGAGGTGGACTCATCATCACCTATATTTGAGGTGATGCCACCCTATACTCGAGGCAGAGGTGTCATCGCCCAACAATTGAGGCGGACGCTCAGGCCAGCCCTACCTCAATGTGCACTCTAATACCACCTTGTCCGTTAGATCTCAAGCTTGAGGTACAAATGAGTATGCAAGTAAGGACAATGCCACAATCCCATGCATGTGTTGATTGTCTCATCTATGACCCCCAGAAGTCTGACATATCAATGTATGCTATGGAGTATTTGGAGATTGCCACTCAATGCCAAAATGGACGACCCTGACACCTCCAAGGTACAACCTGAACGGATCCCCATGAAGGGTCTACGGTCTCATACCCTAGGATTTTCTCTACTATAAATAAAAACGAAGCCATCTCAGTACACTCGTCGCACTCCACTACCTCACTTTTGAAATAGTCTACTGACTTGCACATCAGACTGCCCTTCGCAGGTGGAGAACTAGCTCACCCCAAAGCAGAGCAAGGAGGCGCATGGTATCGGTGACGAGGTACAACTAATGTTGGGACTAGTACTCCAAAAGAATTTTTGGAGAATATTTTTAACAATTTGCATCTAAAGTCTATTAAACTCAGAAAAGATGACATGAAAGAATAGGTACTAGCTCCCTCCTTTCTTTGTCATCAAGGAAGGTGAACAGATGGTACTTACCAAGCCTCCTCTACTTGTCCATGATATTCCTCCCCATTTTGTTATAATCTTTGAAAGGAAATCTATAGCCATACCTACCTAGAAGAAGAGGATAAAAGAGAATGTTAACATCATAAAAGATCCCAAGCAGTAAGGCTTCTTATGCTGATCAAACCGCAAACAGATTTTCAAAAGTAAAATTGTAGACTGAGCAAAAGGATATTAATATCATCACAAGGGGGAAAGAAACTGCGAATTTATAGCCTATATGGTCGAAAAAAGCATACAAATTATGCATGAAAACTTATTGCTGAACTATAATTCTCAGACAAGTGGACAACAGCTGAAGCACAGATTACCTGACCATCATTTAAAGCAGCTACCATGAGAAGATGATCAGCTTCTTCTTGGACTGCTGGATAGATGGTTCCAGCAGTATCTGGCCAAATCCGCTTATGTAGACTTTTCACAATATTATAATCTCCTCTAACAGAAAATGCACGCATCAAGGAAAGATAGAGGTGAGGTTTTGGTCGCAAGTCTTTATTCCAACCAGCCTGCTTTAGCATTTCTCCAAATACGCATAAAGCACCTAAACATCATTTACTACCATTAAACTTGTAGATTTTAACATTCACGTTCCATTTGCACAAATTGAAGTAATGTGGCTGACAATCTGATTTTACAATATCCTATCGCACATTGACGAGAGGAATACGCATGCCCACCTGGTTGCTACTAAGCTTTATCAAGGACAATATCGTCTAAGAATATGACATAATCTCAAACGTTCAACAATTTTTGGCGTGCTACATGACTTTCTTTTGAGATTTAGCTCTGTTTAGGGCCATAAGCAACCCCAAAAATTGGGCCCAAAAGAAATATAACCACCAACACCCATGAAATCCAGTATTACATACCCTTAATAGAGCCGCAATTCAACAATGCATCAACTATTGCAGTGTATGCTGTTCGATCAATAAAACAATCAAGATATGTTTTCATTTCCAATACAATCTTCTCAACTGTAGGGAGATCCTTGGATTGCCCAAAACCCTGCCAAAACGGAAGACACATATATAATTTCCTGAGATAAAGTCCAGGTGGGAACATCCAAGCGAAAAGGAGAACAAGAATAAAATAAACAAAACTGTCTCTCTAAATAACAAAAGAATAGAAAAAAGATCTTCGATAGTATCAACACTATAGATGTATCATGTATGGCAATAGACATAGCAAGTTAGACGTATAATTGAAAGCCAGAAAATGGACCTTGAGTAATATAGTGTACGTGACAACATCTGGGAAAAGATCATAATTGAATTTCTGTGTTTTGTCCTGAAAAGAGCAGAAAAGGTTTTTTCTATTTCTTGATCAAGGCAACTATCTAAAACAATTAACGTATAATTCTAGGCTCCAAACTGGCCTTTCAGTTACATGCTTGGGACCTTCATTTCCTCAAAGAAATGCAATGCCAACTCCAACTTGTCGGTCTTCACACATGCTGAGATTAGAGTGTTGTAGGTGAGCCTGTCAGGGTTTAAACCCAGACGTAATATTTCATTATACATGTCTATTGCACCCTCAGGAGAGCCCGCGTTTATGGATCCCTGAGATGAGAAAGAAGACTCTCCCTGAACACCAACTTTGTGCACTTGTAAATACAAGACAATTGTCTATATCTAAACATCTCAAGCAACAATAGAACAGTGCAGAACCTTCATAAGTAAGTTGTAAGCTGTGACCAAAGGGCTTCCACCTTCACGGAGAAAAAAACCATATCGAGAAAGGAGCCCATTAGCACGGCGTAAATCTCCTGCACTAAAAGGTTGCAATTGGCAGACATTAGTGAGCATGAATTGGAGAAGTAACCATGAAAAGACGGCACTTCACATCTTAAAACAAATTTGAGCACAAGCAAGACTGGACCAAAAAAAAATGATCGGAAAAAAAGGAGAAATTTCTTTTACTACTTAAGTTTTGGTCTTACATTTATAAAAACACTACAATTTCTTGTATCTTTTTTTATTCTCTGAATTGGTGACACTGACCTGCTTCAACGAGAGCATTTAACAAGCCAAAAATAAGAGGCGCTGATAACTTGGGCCTTCCCAAAGCAGTACCTTGTTGCACTGATTCAAGTAATTGAAATGCTTCATCAATTCTACCCGCTTCACCCAAACCCTTCAATCAAAAAAGAAAACAAAATAAGAGATGACCCTTTTTCAAAGCAAGTAAAGACCCTTCCATGGCATTGGTCTATAACAATTATACACACATTCACGTTTACTAAACCATAAACGAATGTCATGGGAAAGGTAATGGGATTAGAAAGGAAAGTAAAGTAATAGGATTAAGACTAAAATTAGGAATAGCAATTTTATGAATGTAATCACTAAAATGTCCTTTTACACAATCAAATAATCATTGATTGTATAATAATTCATTAAGGGTAGATAAGTAAATTTAACGTTCATTCCCTTTGACAAGGAATCAATATTAAGGGGTGGTCCCTTTCCTCATTCCCTATATTGTGTGGGGCACGCTAAATCTCCATTACTAATTTTGTAAGTAAACACATTGTTAAATGAGAAAGTGAATCGATCCTTACTTCCCCTTTCCCTTTGATACAAAGTAAAATTAAACATATATATAAACAAAATAAGCTTCTTTCCTTCTTTTTACCCACCTTAAAAAAATTATAGACTGTCTAAAATAGGACATTTGGAACATCTCCCCCTAATTTTTTAAGATTGGCAAATTACCTTATCTTTTTTTTTTATTTTGACAAATTAGCTCATGAATTTAACAAAGTGTTGCAGAATGCTCCAAATTGACGACAACTATTGAAATTCCGTCGAAAATGTCCTTAGATCGTGCTACGAGAGCTCGTTTACATAAAATAAGTAAATAAATAAATAACTTAAATTTCAGATGATGATCGGAGTACAAAACCATATGTGCATGAGGGATTTCCTTCAAAATTTTAATATCATTTATCGATCAGACGCACTCCGCAATAATTTATTAAATTCACAGATAACAAGCGACAAGTAAAACCATAAGGATAATTTGTCAATTCAATTTCTTCAAAACAATATGAAGTACCTTCAACAAAGTACCGTAAGTGACAGTATCAACGCCACAACCATCTGGTTTGTACATTTCATCGAACACCTTGAGAGCAGACTCGATATCCCCGCAGTGCACACACGCCTCCAAGACGGCGTTCATCGCTATCGTGTTCAGCTTCCCGTATCGACGCTTGGCTACATTTACCTCTTCCATTATCTATCATCACAATCATCAACATTGACGTAAGCAGCAAATTCACGGTTTTGGAAACTCTCTCACTTGTTTGGCGGGCGAGAAAATAGTGAGAAAACGGCATATATATACCTGGTGAAGCTGGCGTCGTCGAGTGAGGTGGACGATGCGGGAGGTGAGGCACTTGAGGTTGGGCTTGCGAGGAGAGCGGGTGCTGAATCTACGACGTCGTATCGGAGCAGAAGAAGAAGAAGAAGAGAAGAGAGTGAAGAAGCGGAATGGTGGAGATTGGAGTGAATGAGAGGGAGAAAAGGAGTGGATTGTTGGTTTCATGGTTGAGGCGTTAGAAGAAGCCATGGCTCGCTCTGTGTTACTGTTAACCCATGAGAGACAGAGAGAGAGAGAGAGAGAGAGAAGGATACTGGTTGGTTGTAAGTTGCGAGTCTCTGATTTTGTGGATGAGGAGTGAGAAGAAGGTTCTACCAGAGCAAAATCATTCCATAAATTTTACGGAAATAGTAGGAAATGCCGATATGAAAAGTTTAAGAAAATAATTGGTATGAGTTTATAACAAATGCAACTTTTTCAGTCAGTATAGCTTCTTTCAGAATCTTTATAGCATCCTTTTTATATAATCCTGGTTATTCATCCTTACAAAATTTTAATTTATTTAATTCATTTGTTAAAGGTATTTCTAATAAATTGAAAATTTTTGAGGATAAAATAATAAATGTGACATATGATTGGTCGTATAATTGGGGTTATATTGATTTTTTTTATGCAACATTTTTAATTCAAGGTATAAGAATATTGTCTGAACTAATTCATTTTTTTGATAGACAAGTAATTGATGGAATTACGAATGGGGTTGGTATTTCGAGTTTTTTCGTAGGAGAAGGTATTAAATATGTAGGTGTCGGTCGAATCTCTTCCTATCTTTTAGTGTATATATAATCTTTTTATTAATTTACTCCATAGGAGTTCTTTTTTTTCTTTAAATATTTCTAACTTCGAATTTTCTTGATTCCGATCCACATCCAGATAATAAGTTTCATAAATGGGTTTATTTTTATATCGTGTCTCTTTAAAATCGATTTTTTCCAGATCCTCCTTTTCTTCCGAAAAAAGGGAAGGAGAAGGATCTTCTTCGGTGGATCCCTCTTGTTCCTGTTTAGTCCCCTTCGTTTCTGAAGTTTTTTCTACATCTCTTTCTTTCTCACTAATTTTTAGTTATAAAAATTAATAGGTCATAATTTGTCAAGTTATAATTTATAATCAGATAAGTTATAGACAAATTTATTAAGTTATAGTTCATAATCAGATAAATTATGGACAATAGTTCATAACCAGACAAGTTATTGACGAAAATAATAATTTGACATATTTATTAACTTATGTAAACTATTAGCCTATTAATTTTAATTTATCTCAAGTCTTAACATATTTTTCTCTTTCTTCTTAAATTTTATTCTCTTTCTCTGACTAACATTCCTCTAATTGCTTGAATTTTAATTCCCACGAGTTTCGTTTAAAAAATTTTCATACCATATGTTTTTTTTTAAAGCACCGTATGTTTTTTTCCAATGATTTATATAATGATTTTGAGATTATATATTTTCAATTACTCACTCTCTTATTTTAAAATATTATGCGCTTCAATAATACTAAAAAGGTACATTTATATTTTAAAAAACAAGACATTTTTTCACTACCTTCTAATTAATTAATTAAAAACTAAAAACTTAAAAACTTTTAAAGATATTTTAAATACAAAACATAAAAAGTTGTTCCAACTAAAAAAACAGAGAGAGAAAAAAGTTTCTTAAATATGAAAAACCGATCCTTTTCTAATCGTCCATCCCACCACCCGCGATTTCAAATCATCGCCCGCCCACCTTACCGTCACATATCTCGGATAATCGTCAACCGCCAAGGTCCCTCCCTTCCCCTTCTCAACACCACATCCTAGCTATGTGTGACTCAAAATTGATCATCGACTGAGAAAGTTTAAAAAATATATATCTCATAATTTATAAACTTAATGTATAAAAATGCAACAGTATGAACTATACGATCAAATTTTTGATACTCTTATAAATTAGTAAGGGTAGTATGGGAATTGGAAGGTGTTTTTCATCAAAATAGATCGTAAATTGAGAAAAAAAAAAAGCTATAGATTTTTAATCCAAAGTTCATTCAAAGTATATGTTCTTTATTGTCATTATGAATCATATGGTGTGAGAGGTGAATGTTTACAGGGCATACGACAGCTGCACATAATACGTCGTTTTTTGTCAAGGTTGACTCAATTGTGAGTCGCTTTGGGTGTCGTTTCGGTGCTTTGATGACCATTGTTGTTTTATAGAGAGAACGCAATGGCTTTTTTAGTAGAATTATGCTTGTAATGGCCGTATACTCCTAAATCTAATGGTGGCTCAAACAACATTGTGCATAAAAATCTTGCATCAAATCTCTGAGGCCCCGTTCATTTCACCAATTCGAGTTTTCAGTTTCAGGTTTTTACAGTAAAAGGCTTTCAGAAAATGTCACATCAAACTTTTTATACTACAATAAAAAGCTCTCAGAAAATGTCACATCTCAACTCGAATTTGCGAAGCGAATGAGGCTAATTATGCTAGACACCGACAAAGCAACCAACCATCGCTTAGGAAAATGATTTTCTATCTTAGGAGCTTCTGGAGTTTAAAATTGTACGTGATTGCTTGAATGGGTTCGCACGATCAGCGTCTGTTATGTTGGCAGATCTATGACCAACTCCTATTATGAGAGATTCAAGGAATAATCTAAAATAAACAAATTCAAAACATATAATATTGTGAATAATCTAAAATATAGAATATTATTTAGAAAATGGAGTTTCTCTAGTATGACTAGAAAAAAAAATAAACTATCAGTAATTTTTTATTTTCAGCCGTTAGATTTGTATCAAAAATCGTTTGTTATGCATATATTTTTCAGATTCAAAGGTTAAAAATTAACCGTAATAGCATAACGATCTTATCGGAGAAAGTTCGGTAAATAAAATAAGACATATATTTAAAAGACAAATACAAAAGACTTATGGAGGAGGGTAATCCAGTGAGAGTTGTCGGCTCAACGGTCCCGCTCTTTCAAAGCGGAGTGGAGTTGGGGCATCCAATATGGTCAGATTTCCTGCAATCACAAAGATAGGGCCTCCTTGGATCGCAATGTATATACTAAGATAAGTCACTAACAAATCACTTGGCCTTTTCTCTTCTTCTTCTTTTTTTTTTTTCTTTTTTTTGTTGCTCTGGCACTTGGCTTTTTCTCTGGATCCGTTTGTAAATATTTATTATTCTAGTGTCCTCCTATAATCTTATTTCCCACCTGAACATAAAATCCGCTCGACTTTGTCACCAGGAAAAGAATAGAAAAGAAAGTGTTTTAGATTCATTAGCTTCTTCACAATGTTGGTGTTTGGTGGATCACTTTCCTTGCATTTTTTCCGCCTCGTTGTGATACTCGTGCTATATTTTATCCATCATTTATAGCTTCTCTTTTTATAATACAAAATACAGTTTGTCATATAACATACTTTGTCATATAACAAACATTTAGTAACATTTTTCCACGTAAATCCCTACAAGGTTCCTCAGAAACCGTTTCTTTTTCTTATCTAGCTTGGAATTATAGATTATGTTATATGTAGATCACAGTTTAGGAAAATACAGAATAACGCTATACACATAACGGTAATTTTATACCTGAGTTCACTATAAGATTAAAGTTTAAAAATAAATTAAAATAAACGGTCCGGTACAACATATTAAAATGAAGCCTTTTCATGAAAGCAATCCACTATTTTCATGATTAAATTTTGGAGAAGCATGAGCCTGTCATGGACAACACAATTGATTAAAGAGTCCTAACAACCAGCCCTCGAACAAATCCAAGAAAAAGACTGCCACTAAGGAGATCACGAATAGATTCGTAACTTTTTTCTTTTCATAACTTTTTTTTTTTACCAATATCACTACACGTGTTACTTTTCCTCTCCCGTTTCCATTCTAGCAAACATGTGCTTAGAATCATCATCAATATTTATATAAAAAAAAAAAGTATAATTAACATGAACCCTAGAAAGAACAAAACAAATGCGTATGACACATGTAATAAAACATAAAATATGGCCAAAACAAAATCTATCTTTTTTATTCAAAATGTGATCGAAGGAGTGATTTTAATCATCGACTAATATCTCAAAGAAAAACAAAATGTAACTAATATGAACCCTAGAAAGCACAAAGTGGATGAGTATTGTAACAAATAATATAGCCAAACAAAATGAAAATCTTCCACGCATGATTATACCACTAAACCTCTCATTTTAAGTTCCAAAAAAATGAAAAATAAATAAATAAAGGGAAAAACTATACTTTTATTTGAAATGTGGTGAAAAGAGCGATTCTAATCTGTGACTAATATCTCAAAGACAAAAAAAAGTGTAACTAATGTGAATCTTAAAAGAAAATCTTTCACACCTGACACCTAACTTCACTGTAGAGTTTGGAGTTTGTACCTTTTCATTTCAACTTCAAATTAAAAAAAAAATCTGAAATATTTAATTTAAAATGTGGTAAAAAGAGTGATTCTAATTGATGACTATTGTCTCGTTCATTTCATCGATTTAAGTTTTTAGTTTTAAATTTTTTCAGTAAAAAACTCTAAAAGAATATCACACCTAACTTTTTCTGTTATAATAAAAAACTCTCAAAAAAATATCACATTTTAACTCAAATTAAAAAATTAAATTCAAAAAGTAAACGAGGCCATATGTTTTCTTAATCATTGCTTCCTACTCATACTATATTACAAAGGCATACTTTGCTCCTTTTCCTAAAAGAGAAAAGATAAAAGAAGCCAAACGTGGATATTGATGATCATGATCATTATGGGCACCACGCCACCTCTCCACTAAAAAGCCACACCCCAGTACCCCACTAGAAAATCATGGACTCCCCCAGTGGGAAAGCTCACCTATCCATCATTTTCATTTCCCATTACACGTGTCAATAAGCCTTCTACTTAGGGTTTTTTTCTTTGTTTTTGTTTTTTTTTTAAATTCAACAACAATGCACCCAAACAAGATTATTAATTTAACGGTAAGTATACGATTTAAATCAAGCCATAACAAACTAGGTAATAAGTATACGATTTAAATCAAGCCATAACAAACTAGGTAATTTTTTTCTTAAATCAAGCAGTATTTATAAAACATACAAGCGCGTCTAAAGATTCTTCTCATGATATCTAGTCTCATATTATGTTCAACTTAAAATTTAAGTCTTACAGTTATGATTGTGATTAGTCTCATAAAAATTTTATAATAAGGGTGCCTACGTGGAGAAAATTCCTTGAAAAAAAAAAGAGTGTTTCACTGATAAATTCAGAAAAATATACTACTGATAGTTTTTTACTTTTCAGTTGTTAGATTTATATCAAAAATTATCTAAATGACTTTTTTTTTTTTTAAT